TGTGGAGGTTTATTTCTGTGCTCGCTATTCTGTTCCATTGGTCTGTGCCTGTTTTGATGTTACTATCATACTGAATAAGCACATATCTTAAAATGACAGGATCCCACAAAGTGTCCTAGTCACTATAATAGTAATGAAATGATCAGTTGGTGTTCTAAAAATATCTTTTGTAGTATTTGCCAATTACTTATCATGGCTGAAAAATTGTAAATATTTAAGAAGTAGCCCTTGTAACCTTTAACTATCTAGCTCAGCACACCATTATGACATTACAACTGCCATCTCTTTGAGAAGTTTCTCTATCAACATCTGGTTGAAAATAGCACTTCCTGGGATGGAAAGACTTTTTTGAAGGCAAAGAATTGGAAAAGTGATTGTTTTTTATTCCTTGGCTATGACTAGGGAGGGAACAGGACAGGTGAGTAGTTATGGGACCAACTGCTTTCACTCATGAAGCCTATGGATCTGTATGTCCCAGCATGGAAGTAATGTCTTAATTATCTGGCCAGCTTTTTAGTGATAGTGATAGAGACTGTGGTGAAGATGATGAAGTTGATGTGATGTATGTTTTAATAGAAAGAACATTTGACCAAGACTCTTAGTTTTGGGTTTCCAGTGTCAGGCACTGACATTTATTAGCTTAGTGACCTTGAGCAGGTCACATATGGAAAATAATATTTTCTCAAATAGTTATCCTGATAAGAAGGGAAAATCAGAATACCCAAAATGCTTGTATACTGAAAAGTACTACATCAATGTAAATTATTAGCATAACCATAAAAAGTAGTTACCTAGTGATAATTTTATATAACGTGGCACTTTGTGGTATGTAAAAGAGTCACAGGCACACTGCACTTTCAGACTTAGAGGTACATGGTGGAATTGATTTATGAGTCCTATACATAATAAATAGATTACTATAATGTTGGACCTTAGTTAGATCTAAGGTTTCAACTGGCTCTTAGGACAGTATCTTACCAATTATCGAAATACAACCTTGCAGAAACCAAACCCCAGAGAGGTAAGCCATTTTATTGACCACTCATGCTATGATAGAGCTATAATGAATATCATAGAAGTGACAAACACAGATAACATAGATGGTCCTTACCTACATGGAGATTATAATCTTGGTAACAAAGCCAGGTCAAGGACTTAGGACATAGAACCTTAGTCAATATTCACAGCTGAGCAGAGTCCTTAGTAGATTTTCTCAGTTTGGGTCTAGCTATACTTCTTTTTTCATAAAGTCAGTAGTAGATAAAAGTACATTTGACTTTCTACAAATCTTGCTTTTACAAAGCGATAGAGGCTTAACCAACATTTTCTATACCTCTGCTTTCTTATGAGGTCTTAGTTAAGTGAATTCATTGTAAATTAGAAGTAAAAATGAAATAAAATGAGAAAAGTCAGTTAATGCTTTCCCTTTGCTGTATTTAAGTATATGTACCCAAAAGAAAGCTAACATGTGTTTCTAAATGAAACCTGGGGAGACTAAAATAGAATTCTGGGTCAACTCCTTTCACTAATCTTGTTCCGTTCTGAAATACTAGTGGTTCTACATATTTGAAACTCAGTTTCTTCATGTGCAAAATAGAGATAATAATGAAACCTGCGTAAGAGTGGAGTGGAGTTAAATGAGATGATGTATACAGTGTGCCCAGCCTGGTTTTTGTCACGTAATAGATATTTATCATAGTAATTATTGCTATTACCCAGCAGAGGTAAAACAACTTGTCCACAGTTACATAGTTAGAAAGTTGTGATACTAGGATTTAAAACCAGATAGACTCGATCCCAGAGCCTGTCAGTCTCCCATACTGCTCACTCAAATCATCCTAGTAATACTGATGTTGCCCCCCAGGAATTAACTAGGCTGATTATGAGGACATTACCAATTCCCCAATAATTCTATCTTGTTTGAAAATTATATTCATCTGTCCTTTGTTGTTTTTCTGGTATTGTTTGACTGTAGCTCTTTGGCTCTATTTTGCTCAAAAGGGCACAGAACTACTCTTTCTGATGTTTTTCCCCCCACTTTTTCTCAGGATAGAGTGAACTCTTTCCCTTTACACTCCCAACTCTGAGGACCACCAGAGACTTCTTTTGTCCCCACTATTGCGCCTCTTCTCTTTGGATTTATGAGGAATATCTGCTCTGAAGGCTCCTATCGGAGGTTTAGTCATAGGTTTTTTAAAATCCTCTTCAGAACCACCTGATATTGTGGGTGTGGAAGTCATTAACACTCAATTTTATTTTTCAGGTAAAAGGACTTATGTTTAGCAGAACATCATCACATCAGAATGATCTAGAAAGACAGTTAAGTTTTATTATTCTTAGTAAGAACAACGCAAGGCAGTGAATCAGTTTATTATAGTACACACTATGAAACATGACAAAGTACTCTATTACTGTTAGATAACCTTTGAGCTGCTTATCACATCTGCCAGCCAGCAAGTTACTGACATTGCAGTTAGTAAAGCCCAGCAATGCCAAGACTCTGAACAGCTGGATCTAAGGTCAAAAAATGATATGTACCTAATTTGCTACTGATACAGCTTAGTTTGGTACATTTCCACAGAGATTTCCCTTAGTATCTTTTTGGTTTGCAAAATATCCCTTCTTCTAAAGAGGAGAAGCTTTCCTCATCTGTTTACATCTTCTATTTTAGTTTTTCCACATTCATCATGATGCCTGATAGGTTATTTTTCCTTTGTGGCTGTGGAGGGGAAGGTGAAATGCCTTGCATTGATCTGTTCACATCCACGCCCTGCCATTTTTCTTCTAACTCTATAAAAATGACTTTTACTGATGAAACTGATAGACATTGGCAGTCCAGTGTTTCTACAGCTGCCATTGCATTGCCAGCTACTTCAGAATGTCCTGGTCACTACAATTTTTGTAACGCAGATTTCATAGTTACATACACAAGTTTTAGAGTGGGATATCACTGTTTAAAATCTATTTATTGTTATGAAAAAGTATTAACTCCAAGCTCACTGAGGAATGATTTGGGGGCAGTTTGCACGAGAAGACATTTTTGGATGATAATTGATAAGTGTACACTTCCTACCAGAGTTTCATTCCTGTGAAATGGCACTCCTCCAGTCTTTTAGAAGGCATTAAAATGGAGAGAGGGAAAGTAAGTGAATTTGCAATTTTCCTCTGTCATTGAGTCCTTTCCTTTAGGAGAAAGACTGCATCTCTTCCGTATGGTAAGCACTCAAAACCCTTGTTAATAAATGTTGGATCTTGTGAGTGGAAGTGATCTGACTGATGTTGCTTTCTGGAGGACATGGAAAATCCATTTCCATGGACTAGTACATCTGTCTACTAAAGGAGGAGCTAAAATGTTCCTGTCTTCCAGCAAGTGATTTAACCTGGCTGGAGGACTATCTCACCACATTACACTCTAGTGTACCCAGTCTAGCTTGGCCCCTAATTGTTGATGTGTGGAATGGCCAGCAGAGTGTCTTTCTTTTTCCAGGTCTTTGGAACTGCAACTCCAAACTTTCAACCCAGCACTAGATAAAAGTTTTATAAATGAATATTTAAAATCCCAATTTAGTGATTGCCTATAGTGTTGTTTGTGCAGTTTGATGGTGGCATCTATAATGGCAATATACTTTTAAATGACGACATTGCAACCTGTAGTATTGGAATTGTACTTTTCTTTATGAACTTCAACTCCTTGAAATTATCTAATAAATCATCACCAAATCCTGGTAGAATTCATGCTAACCCCTAATTCCTGAGGTAGAAAAATGAATATTTTTATCCCTCTATTAAAAAATACATGGGAAAAGAAAAAGAAATTTCATGAGTGTATATGGTTTCCTTTCTGCTCTGTCCTTTCTTCCCTCCCTCCTCGCCTCCTCCCACTCTCCCTCCTTCTGATCCTCTCTGCTAATATCAGTGTCCATGGTACCACCACAGAATGGTGTCCCGGCACCCAGGCCTCAGGGAAACCCTTTCTCTCTGTGGTTGCCTGGAGCTAACCACCACTTTTCTTTTCCTTATCCCATAATATCAAGCATAATTGGTTCAGTGTTGTAGTCTTTCACAACAGACAGGAAACACTTTCAATTTTGCGGCTGTTTCTTTCCACATTGCAAAGAAATTAAGGGTCTGGTTAACACTTGGATTGAGGTAGCAGGGTCTATAAAGGGTCAAAAGTGTGAGAAACTAAAAGTCCTGTCATGTAGAAGTTTTCAGAATGACTTGGAATTGCACCTGTGTGCGGGCTGTGATATAATTAGGAAAATATGTAACTGAGTCCCAAAAAACCTGATTTATAAATTAACAGAACTATTTTGTAATGATTAGAGCCAATTGATGATATCTACAAATTATAACAGCTACTTTTTATGAAGTAATGTGAGTTTACTTCTGAATTTCTCAATTCAATTTTCACTCAAGATTTGTGTTAATTTGTCAAATCCTGTTAGACAGCTTACTATTTTTTATGGTATTTTTATTAAGTTCTCCTAGACCTAAATTTTTAACCTTGCTGATGTACCATACATTTTGCTCATATGCCTTTAAGCAGTTTGTCTATGTGAATGTATATGTATATTGTTTTGTATGTTCACAATATTAATTCACATATATGTATACATATATTGAATGATATACATTTTTAGTGTTCTAAATAAGGCTACTTGTTCTAATCAATGTGTAAATGTCATTCACACAGAATTATTTTGATAATATCCTTTCACCTCATCAACACCTTGTGATCTTTAAAATTTATGAAAATACACAATATTGTCAATTTTTTTTGTCTTTTTCCTTTTTATCGGTACCAGGGATCGAACTCAGGACTGCCTGCTTGCAAGGCAGGTGCTTATGCTGCTGAGCTAAATCCCCAGCCCCAATATTGTCAGTTATTTCATCATTATAAAGTTTCCATGCCCATTTCTGTTCTTCACGTCTGTACAGAATACCTTAGCCATGCTTTCTTCTCCAAGACCTCAATCACTGTGTTTATGTGCTTTTAGGGAGAACAAAGGATCATCTGAAGTGGATGACATAGAGGACAAGTTGGAAAACATGGACACAATCACCAACAGCACCCGTTGTGATTCCCTGGACATGAAAGGAGGGCACATTAATGACGTCTTCATGACAGAGGATGAGCGGCTCACCCCTCTCTGAGCGACTGCTGTTTGCTTCTTCAGGAAACCTAACACTTGTTTCTGTGTGACTACTAAGCACTCCAAAATATCAAGGGCGGATTATATATTTTATTTCACCATTCTTGTTTTCGAAGCAGTGTCGACTGTTCTTGAAAGTGATAAGCAATCAATTATACCCATAAAGACCACTGAAATTGTAAGCTATTGACTATTCAGAATATTTGAAAGTAGTTTTCTTATTATACAATATGTAAATGTAGTCATGTGGTGCTTATAGTTATTGACTTAAGCATTTCTAGACACAAAGCCAGATATATATATATTATATATATATAATATATGTAATATACATAATATATATATGAATCACACTTTGAAAATGTAAAGCAAATAATTTTCCCAGTAGAGAACAACTATAACATGGTACAGAAGTCATTGAAAATGGGTCCTTTTTGAATCTTGTTAATATTGCTCTCTATATGACTAGGTAAGCAAAAGTAAACAATTTTAAATGAGATAGATAAAAATGGGAATGTTGCTTTACGATGTGGAACTTTTTCTTTTAGTATGTCAACAATTTCTAGTATATTTTTTGAATAGCAGTCTCTAATAGGGTAGTTCTATTTGTTTCTGCAATTTGTGCAAGTTCAATTTATGCTAACTTAATAAAGCAGTAATCACTTCTTTCTGATTGGGTGGCTGATTATTATCATTCTGTAGAACATAGTGAGTCTAATTTTTATCGGTTGTACCTAATCTGTCATTTTTGTTGTCTTACCCTTGCTTGAAGACACCTTGTAGGTTTTGGGCTTGCTTTTTTTTTAAATTTGCTTTTTTTAGCTGGCCTATAAAACATAAAAATTCTGTATATTATAAGTTACTATGTGATGTTTCACCATGCATATACATTGTGTAATGTTAAATCAGGTTAAACATATCTCAAACACTTGTCTTTTCCTCCAGCTTTTTGAAAGTGCAGTTCATTAGCATTATCTCTGGTCACCCTATTGTGCAGTAGTTCACCAGAACTTAACCTTTCTTCCTCCATCCCACCTTCCCTTAGGCCCTGGCAACGACCATTCTACTCTTCTGCGCTTCTATAAGAGCAATGTTTTTATCTTTCATATGAGTGAGATCATGCTGTGCCTGGCTTACTTCATTTAACATAATGATCTCCATTCCATCTACGTTGTTGTGAATGACAGGATTTCATTCATTATCATTGCTGGCATGTTTTCTGTTGTGCATATATGCACCACATTTTCTTTACGCATGCATCAGTTGCTGGACACTTAGTCTGTTTCCATGTCTTGGCTATTGTGACTAGTGGTGCAAAAAACACTGGAGTGCCAATGTCTCTTTAACATACTGACTTTATTTCCTTTGACTATGGGCTTGATTTTGTTTCCAAGCAGGGCATAATAAGGACTAAACATTTATTAATGGAAATAAAAGTTTGGTACTCATTCTGTCTCTGCTGTTTCTCTCAGTTAAATTATAGCAACAGTCTCTAACTCATTTCTCTGCCTTCAGTGTTGCTCCTTGGATACAGACCTTAAAATGAGTAGTTGCATGTAGAAGGTTAATTGGGCAGTGCTCTCAGGAGAGAAATCTGTTCAAAATGAGGAAGGCAAGTAGGGCAGATTGCTGTCTCTTATTCCTCTGTCCTGGTATTCATGCGTTCTTGTAATTTCCTCCCCCTGAGTGAATCAGACCTGTGGTTTGCTTCTAATGAATAGAGTACAGCAAAGGTCATGAAATGTGAGCTCCCTGCAATTGCTTTTATAAGACTCTTTTCTAGGAGACTTGTTCTAAAGATTTTCCATGCTGGCTTGATTCAGTAAGTGGCCACGTTGGGAAAGCCTATGTGAAAGAAACTGGGCAGCTTCTCGGAATTGCTGGTGCACAAAGATAGCATCCAGCTAAAAACCAACAGGAAACTGGGAACCTCACTCCTGCAACCACAAGAAAAAAAATTCTGCTAACAATGGGGGCGATATTTTCCCCCCAGCTAAATGTGCAGACATGGTTGCAATCTGGCCAACACTTTTCAAGTTGAAGAGAATCCAGCTATGCCATGCTTTGCCTCCAGACCACGGACTCAATGAGATGATAAATGTATATTACTTTAAGCCATTAAGTTCATAGAAATGGGCTTTGTAGCAGCAGCATATTAACAGAGTAGGATGAGGCAAGGGGAAAAGTGATCAGTGACAGTTACAACAGAGGCTTCAGCCTTCAGCCAGCACAAGAGCTTGAGTTGTCATTGGCCCAGGCCCCTTTATTGCCAAAATGGTCATTCATAGCTATAGGGGCTGTCTGGGAGGGGGGTCTACCCTTGAGAAAAACAGCTCACTGTGGCTGGGTACAATTCCTATCCAAGGACTGAGTTGTGCACTTTCACCAGTTAATATTCCCAGCAACTGGGGATGAGTGTCTTGGCCCTAAAGAGGGGGCCTAGAGGTCGCCTATGATATCTGCCAGTCCATTGGCCTCAGTGCAGTTTGAATGCCCAAAATACAAACATGATGTTGTTAGTTCTTAAAAAATGGAGACTTTTAAATGGTTTTCATTATTCTTCTAAAGCCAGAATTCTTAACACAGGACTTGCCGCAGTTTGACTTTTACCTCCCTCTCTGACTTCATTTATCACTCATTCTCTTCTTTGTGTCTCTGTCTCTGTCTGTCTTTTTCCTTCTCCATTTTTTACCCAGTCATCCATAAATCGCTTCCAGGCCTTGAATAAGCTGTTTCCTCCCAACTTTGCCTCTTCCAGCTTGTCTTTAGGCCCTTTCTAACTTACACATCTTACCTTGGTAAGCCTCTCAGCTCTGTGGTTCTAGAGCAATCAGATGATTATACTTATCTAGCACCAGACTTATACTATTCTGAAATACAGGTTTTTATGTAAGATGGAACCCATGAAATCAAGAATGCTTTAGTGTTCACAAAAATCGCAATGCAACCTAGTCTCTGTGAACATTTTTTTTTAAACACACTTCACTTTGCCTCCCAACCTCCAACCAAATAGAATTAATCATTGCTTTAACCTCACTATAGCTATGCATGGTTATATTATTTCACTTTACTCATTTATTTCTTTGTAGGTCTGAGTCTTTATAGTAAATATAATATTCTTAGTCAGTGTTCAAGTCCCATAGCATAGTTCCTTGCTCTCTCTGTCTCCTTTTCATCTTTCTTTTTTTAAAACTTTTATGATGCTGAGCAAAGCCAGACATGGTCCCTGCTCTCGTGGAGCTGAAAGTACATATAGTCAGAGCTTGATAAATACGCACTAAGAGATAGAAAATGAGTGGTAGCCATCACGAGTTCATGGTCTTATTCTTTCTGGGAGCAAAACCTGTAGGTAAGTGGAAAGATCTGAATTCATGAGTTGTACAACATTTTTGATATGCACACTATTTTGTCTTGGCAACAATATGCTCTTTCATATTATTAAGGCCTCCTTATTTGTAGAAGAGGGATGAGATTTGCTCTTTTGGTTGGCAAGGCATGCCTTACTAAAGAACTCTTTTCTGTCATATATCCTTTTGAGCTCCAGAACAATGTGGCTTAGCACATAGGAGACTTTCAGTGGTAAAACGTCATCTGAATTAAGTCACTGTGTGCCAGGAAGAACAATGCAAGCTAAGCATTCTCAACAGAGCATAAGTTGCGCCTGGTTTAGAGACAGAATTTGACATAGTATAAAGGGTTGTGTCCTTCCACAGGATCTCAATATAGAAACTTAGTATATCTAAGTATTAAAATTTCATGGGAGAGCTGTTAGGGAAAAGCCTGTAAATGTCTCAATTATGGGGAAAAGTTGACAAGCACTGATTTTAGAAATGTTCCTTATTTTGAAAGCATGGAATGAAATTGTTTGTACCACTAGATCATTTTCTTCACTGTTTGTTCTGGTGGGGAAGAGATTTTCCTTTTCCACTGGGAAAGGGCTTCTCCCCTAAACGTCCTTATTGGGGAAGTTTTTTTCATTAGCAGAGATGTGCTGTAAACTTCACAGTCAATATAACTGTAAAATAGAGCTGATGTCTCCTGCCTACTGCCTTTGACAAATACTCTGGGTAATTAGAGAGCAGTCGATCATCAACCACACTTCTCATTTTTAATTTAATGATCATGTAATATGCCATGAGGGAATACATTGTGAGATGATATGTACCGGAAACAAAATATTGTAAAGTAAATGGAAATAGAACTGTTATTTTACTCTCCAGGTCCTTAGCAAAAACTGCTTGATGAAACTGGAAAGACAGAGCATCTACAAACCAAATCAATGCAGAAAAAACTAGTTGATGGCAATATCTGGACTGATTTTATAGAATAAGTGTAAATGTCACCATTTTGGAGTTTTATGTGTAGTTTCAGTGTCCATATTTTCCATGAGAACTAACAAATATCAAACATCATAATATAAATGAAAACAACGTGATGTGGTTCTGTGGAGAGCGCTTACCTAGTATGTGTGAAGCGCCGGGTTCAATCCCCAACATTGCAAAACAAAAGAAAAGAAAACAAGACAAAAGAAGACCTGATTAAAGAAAGCTGTGAGTTCTTGGATTTGGAATGATAATGATCAAATTTTGTATGTGAATATCACCATGTAAAATATACACATTTATTTGCGTTCCTGCATAAGGAAAAATGAGAGAAAACAGTATTAAAGCTAAAAAAAAGTGAGGTAAAGACAAACTCAATTCAAATTCCCAGCCTTTACATCAAATTACAAGGCTCCATAACATAGTGTTTTGTTTCTCGTTTTCTATTTTGTTTTCCTTTATAAAATTTGCCTGTTTAGTTACCTTGTTTACACAAGCAAATGCATAGACATTCCTTTCCTTCTATCATACTTTGCTTCTTTTTCTTTCTTAAGAATATATTGAATATCCACTATTCTGTTCTAGATGCCATTTAAGATTTAGGAGATACAAACAGAAATGTCTAAAGACTGTTAAGGATACTGACTCTGGTTAATTAAAAAATAAATCTCTAAGCTGGTCTTGATGGTGTGTTCTTGTAGACCTGAGTACTTGGGAGGCTGAAGTAGAATGATTAATTGAGTCCACAAGTTCAAGACCAGCCTGGGCAACATAAGGAGATCACATCTCAAAAAACTCAGGTCTGTATTTGGCTTCACCACCATCTACTTGCCCCTCAACTCTTTGTATTCTAGTTTCCATTCCACACATCTGAGAAAACTCCCTCAAACATCACTGTGAATTTCCAGTTGTCAAGGTCAGAGCTTTATAGTTCTCACTATCTTATGTCTCTTCAAAGCATTTTGCAGTTTAGGGTACTCTGTCACTCTCTTTGACACTAATTAATTCTCCCTTCTTGGATTCTGTGATATGGCTTCTTGCCTTTCTTCCTCCTTTCTTTGATCAGGGAGAAACAGGTGAAAAAATGACTTGAATGACATTATGTAAAATGTAGTTAAGCTCTGAGTAGTGGATGAACAAAGGCAAATTTTCTCTTGGGCATAATGAAATCAAGGTTAATATCCTCTCTACAGACCACAAGTATCTTGTCCACTGACCAGAGAAACTTTGGGGTAAGAGAAAAAACGTGTACAAGTAGTCATTATATATTAAATGATTGGCTATCTCGCTAAGTGGTGGGTCACACCAGAGCCAGAGACATATACACCATCTAATTCCTTATGTGAATCTC